CCGCAACACACGCGTCCATATTTGCAGTTTGCTGTCTTTGTAAAAGCGCCCCTGTATATACATATACAGGTTTATAAAAAAATGCCTGGTTCACCATTACCACCAAAAATCACATGAATTGGATGGGGAACTTATTGGTTAAATTCAGCAGGTTTTATATGTAAATATGATAAAAGATAAAAAAAAGATAAAAGATGTGTGCCAGTTTGATAATCCTAATTCTGATGCAAATGAAAAATGTAGTAATACGTTTGATAATTATCTTAATAAAAACCAGTTAGTTCACATTTCGTGTAATTTTGTTTGCACCGTTAATGCAATAAAAACACGGTGAATGTATTGTAAACAATTTATATATAGGTCGCCAAAATATATGAAAACGGTTAAATATCTTGAGAACCAATTGTACAAATCAACTGAAACTAGGTATAGGGGTACAACAAGTTGTGCTCTAATTATTCGTCAAAACATTGTTTTTGCTTTATTTGTTTTCGAGATAGAAGGCCATTCTAGCGACCCTGTATACAACGGTACCTACCTATATTTCTATTTCTATCTTCGTCCGACACGTTAAATTTACGCATGTATCGTTTCTACCCGTAAACTGCTAAGAAAAGTGGACATTCTTTACCTGTGTAAAAACAGTGTGTCGGACGAAGACAGAAACCGAAACATACCAGATTTTGAAATTGGTACAGTTTTACAACACCTTGTCAAAATTATGGAATTCTGTTATACCACAGGACTGAAGTATGCTACATCCAGCATTTTCGAAAAACTATAAAATTTGATTTTGCGAATTTTATTTATTTTTTAATCAGGACCCCTATAATTTGAAATAAACAACCTTATATCAACTTGGATTGGTGCAGTGTAATGTTAATAATAACAGTACCTATTATATTGGAAATTTTCAGGAAAATGCTGTGGCACTAGCAAGTCTAGACTTATCATATTTTGCACAATTTAGGTCGGATTTATATTCGGCAAAATTTTGGGTTGACGTCATCATATTATTGGTGGGGATGATTAGACAAAGTGTGGTTTTACCATCTACATGATATTCAAAATACACATAAAGTTTGACAACTATCGACCAGTGGCGGCTCGTGACTTTTTCTGTTGGGGGGGCAAAATTAATACACAGTATTATGCTAAATTTAAAATTTATGCTAGGTAAAAATTATTGTTTCTTTTTATTAAAAATTTAGAAAAATGTCAAGTTAGAGGTCCGTTAGCCAGAAATTATTGATTGAAAATTGATAATTGAAAATCGATAATTTCTGTTTACCATCTGGAACCACGAGGAGGTGGACCTAATTCCAGACTTCCCCAACGGTGATGGGGCGAACTCAAAGTTCCTTTTAAATTTGTTGACATAAGAAATATAAATAAAATTTTGTTAATCGCGTGTCCAGTGATGCAATAGGTATCCCCCAGTTTAAATTATTTTCAATTTTTTTAATTAATGTTTCTATATATAAAATCCATACGTCTTTCTTTGTTACGAACAAAATGTTCTATAACTAGTTCATTGAAATTCGTGGTTTCTTGCACTAGTTTTTTTTCTATTAAACACATTGCCAAGGCACACAATCTTTCTTGACACATTGTATTTCGTAAAAATATCTTTATACGTTTTAACGTCGAAAAACATCGTTCGCATTCACTTGTCACCATCGGTAATGTGCAAATAACTTTCAATAATTTTTTTGTTTCTGAAAATACGTCTAATAAATTGTTTTCATACATAAACTTCAAGAATGTTAAGGCACCATTTGCTGTCGAAAAATCGGGATGATTATAAATAACGTTTAACTCATTTTTTAACACATTAAAATTTAAATCATATTTTGTAGCACATAATTCAACTTCTTTTGATGGAAAATTTAGTTGAAAATATGAAAATAAGCTAGTCTGAAACAAATTTGCTGCTGTAATATAATCTGCTTCTAAAAATCGATCATTTATACTAAATTTAATATTGTCACAAATTTCTTTAGCAATTGCAATTTTATTATCATTAAAACGAGACCGCTTTTTTGAAGATTCACCCTCTTCGTTTTCTTCTCGGTAATAATCGTAGTCGATAGAATCTGTTACATGTTGTATGGCAAGTTTAAAAGAAGTAATGTTTTTCTGAAGTTTAATTAAGTCCATTTCGCGAATTTGAAGTTGGTTGAAAAGTATCTCGGTACTAGGCATGATTCTGTGAAAGTATAACCAAAAATTAAAATCGTAATCTTCTAATGTTTTCCGTAAACTACTTGCCTTGGCAATTGTTAATTTATCACTATTTTTATCTTCCATTATAATTTGAAAGCAGTTAATCAAATCATTTTTAAAAGTATGTACAGTATTAACTATTCGTGACTTAAAGTTCCATCTAGTCGGACAATTTCTTGGTAATCTTTTAGAAACGATATTATCAATTTTTATACGTTTAGGAGATCTTGAAAAAAACGAGGAAAATGATTCTAAATTTGAAAAAAAAATTCTTACTTGGCTGTGTGCTGATGCCGCCTTTTCTATAATTAAATTCAACTGGTGAGCATAGCAGTGAATAAACTGAGCTTTAGGGTAATGTTCCTTGATTTTTGCTTGTACCCCATTTTGTCTTCCACTCATAACCGAAGCACCATCATAAGACTGAGATATAAGTTTTTTTGGATTTTGATTGATTTCAAGTTTTTCGAGCTCATTTAAAATAATACTAGAAATACAATCAGCTGTGTGATCTGTTGGATTAATGAATCCTAAAAATCTTTCAAATATTTTACCTTTCAATTCATATCTAACGACAAAAACCAGCTGCGACTGTGAAGCTACATCTGTAGTTTCATCAGCTAAAATAGATATATAGTCCGCTTCCAAAATTTCATCTTTGATTAAATTAATACAAACAGCATAAATTGAATCAAGTAGTTCGTTTTGTATGGTTTTTGAAAGACCCATAAAAACGCGATTGTTCGTTTTTTCTATATGAGATTTTAATGTAGTGTCAAGCTCTGCCATTAAATTAATTAAACCTCTGAAAATTCCCGGATTTGTAGAATCATGCGTTTCATCATGCCCCCTTAAAGCCAACTCAAAGACTCCACAAAATTTTATACCGTCAATCAGTTTACTTAAAATGTATCTATTCTGTTTTACCTGATCATTACGTTTCTAGACGTTCTCTCTATAAGCACTATTTAACTGATTTCTTATGTCTACTTTACCTAAGACTGCGAACGATACGTTGAGATTTAAGTGTTTTTTACTCGAGCGATGCTTTTTTACTTTTTCTCCCAAATGTTTTAAATCCGTGATTCCGGTTTCAGTCCAAGCTTTATCAACATCTCCGTTATTCATAATCATAAGGGTACATACAAAACAGAAAAGGGCATTTTTCGCGTTGCAACCACATAACCACCACTCACTTTGATACATAGTCTTATTAAATTTTCGATGCACGAGTTTGTCTTTAACTTTAGACGACACAGCAATGTCCAAATCGGGTCTTGGCGGTCCAACGTTTTTTATTAATAGTTTTTCATCATGGCTTAATTTATTTTCAGATTGTAGCCGCAAAATTCTCTCAATCGAATTCATATTGATATTATTGACAACTCTACAACACAGTTTTTTAAGTTTCTTAAAATCGCTGCAAACGCACAGAAAACTAAAACTGAAGAAGTTAGCAAATTTCACTCGACCGTTTTGTTTCAAAATCGATGACTAAATCGATAAAAGTGTATGCAATCGTATATGCATTTAGGTACTTAAGTTGCAGTACATAATTAAGACGAAGCGATTACTATGCCCTGCCGAGATGTTGCAATCGTGCATTTGTGCATATAATCGCGAAGATTGCCAAGTACGGGTCAATGAAAATATTCACAATTTGGCAACATGCAGGACGGGCAAAGGTGTATGATACCCCGCCGAGATGATGTCAGATTGTGTTCTGAACATAGGCAACTCGTAGGTTTCGCAATTAAATGCATTTTGATAATTAATAGCGCGAAATTCTCAGATTTAAAAATGTGCTTTCATTTTGGTGGGGCATTGCCCGTTTGCCCTTCCTGCACCAGCCGCCACTGCTATCGACTAGTAGGTTCGGAGATTATCTGTCTAACAAAAATCGCTACGGACGGCGGACAGACAGACAGACAAACAGACGGAAACGGGAGACCCATTTTTTTCGGACTCTAGGGGTCATACCCATCGAGAAAATATAAAAGTAACCAGTCGCCCGATGGTGTCGATTGCAATACTTCCTTAGCTTATGCTCGGGACGTAAAAATCACGTGTTTTGAAAAAAAGTACCTAAGTTTCTACAGTTGTGTGAAAAACGTAATATCGTGGACGTAGTCTCAAATAAATCTTTAACAAGAATTTAATCAATGAAAAGATCAAATGAATGAGATGAAAAAACAGATTAATAAAGAACCAGCTGACAACGCATCCATTAAATGCTGATAAGCTATTAATGGATGAAGTAATTATGAGATATTGGACCGCAAGAAACGTGCAAACAATCTAATAATAATAATTTATAATAATTTATCTTATCTCGATCATGATGTTTTTGTAGGAATTAATGAGAAATCTTACACTTATTATGATAAGTAAACAATTTAGGCGTAGGAAAGACGAAGGAGAGGTTGATACGTTTCAAATTAAAATAATTATACAAACTGTATGTCGAAAATTGTTAAAACTACGTTTGGTAATATAATAATAGTGGAAAAATAATTATTTATGACCAAGGTTGTGAAGTTAATTTTTTTAAAACGAATGTGGAATTTAGTTACCGAGGCGAATACATTCCACATGAGTTTTAAAAAGGATACTTCACTGCAGAGGATCTTTTCATCTTTTTTTTTTAAATTGGCGGCAATTACAACCAATAACCAACCCTGAACGGTTAGTTCAACGGTGAGGAGTATTTACACGAATTTAAGGCAACTTATCAAAATGTCATCATTAAGATTTGAAAGGATAAAGATCGTCCCCCTCTCTAAATTGTTGACACGATTCGATAAATAGTGTTTGTGGCGGCACAATAACACGTTGGTAAGCGGAGAAAGATAAGTGGCCTCGTGGTCTAGTGGTTAGGATACCTGCCCGGCAAGCGGGTCTCGTGTGGTTCCATTCCGGAGGCAGCAACATAAATATTTATTACTCCGTAAGGGAACAGTGGTAAATCTTTTCGCAATATTGCTGGCTACGATGATACATCTCTAATAGTTTCAATTTTTGGTGGAGTTCTTACGACCTTCCTTGTAGAAACTTTGTCACACATCGTTGCAATGAGTTGCAAACTTGGGCATAGTCCACAAAGTTGCAGGAATTCCTGGAATTCGTCCCAAGCCGCTTGAAGCGAGTACCTATTCCCACACAACTAATATGACTCGATCATAAACGCTTTCTACTTCAAGGGAAATGTCATGTTTGGGTGAATACGGAAATACGCCAGTAAAGTTCTGAAAAGTATTGCTTTAATGTGAAAATTATTTCTACTAGAAGCAACACCAATCAAGAACACAGCAAAAGTAAGGCTAGAAAGGACGTTTCAAGTGACAGTTCGACAGGTTACAGCGAGTTGATTAACAAATTAACGTAGAATTTAAATCAGAGTTAAAAATCACTTTATAAGGATTTTTGTTTTTGCCTTTTTGAATGTCTATTTTAAATATTATATTTACAAAATTATCAGCTACAAGAATTTTTTTTTTAACTTTTCTATGTTGTAGGTTTACACGCAGCGTTAAACATATAGGTAATTTCAAACGACATATGGATTCAAGTCCAAGGATGACTGAATGTAAGTTGTTTGCTCGCCCGATAATTATAATTATTGTCAAATGTTCCAAATTTGTCTTAAAAAAAAACTCTTAACGTTTGTAACTAAAACTTTTAAGATTAAAGATAAAACACTTATGACTATTACAATATACAACAGTGGCGTACGCACATTTGAATTACCAATTTGATGAGTTAAGGTCACAGAAAAAATTAGTAATTTGTGAACAACTCAAAAATGGAGGAAATTTTAGAATACCTACAGTATTTTTAATTTATAACCATATTTACTTCGATGTTCAACTAAGCCGAACGTCAAATTCATTTCACCTTGTTATTGTTTTTATGGAAAATTAACATTTTTGTATTACGCACGTAAAATTGACAGACGTCATTGAACTATACTTAGAATCGAATATCAGAACGGAACAGAGTGGAATAAGAAGTACAATTTATCTAAAACGGCGAAAAATTGAAGGTTCACAACCAATGGTGGTGCTCATCAATTCTGGCAACGATGATACCAGGAAGGTGGTAGCAGATCCTATATACCGAGACGATGTTGTGATAAAATTTTAATCATCCAATTTTTTATTTGTTGCAATACTTTCTGATAGTTAGATGCCAGAAAACCTTTTCAAAAATAACCCAAACACTGTCCTTGTGGAATCATCCTGAGAAAATCAGTTATACTGAATTAAACACCATTTTCCGGAGTTCGAAGGAGACTTATCTTTTTTCCGAAATAAAGATTGTAGATTTATAGCTGTGTTTGCAATTTGGTTTTATTATTGTTATCTTCGTAATTACACTTTGTTCATTTTTTGTGTTTTTTTCCACATATTGTTTTAATGTTGTTGAACTGGATTTTGGCACCGTTAGCAATTTATTAAAATAGAAAAAAACTGGCTTTTCATTAATTTACTCAAACACATTTTGTTGCTATTCAAATGAGGTGTTTAAAAATCAGTAGTACACAATATTTCCAAAAGTGAAATAATTTATCACGAAAAACAGGTTGTTATTAGAATCTCCATTGACTTAATTTAAGTCAATTACCTAAGTTTATTTCAAATATAATAAAAAATTATCTTTATAATTGTCTGCTTAATTTGTTTTCCTCATATGTTACGCAAATACTAATGCCTTTGTTGTCTGACATGTTCTGTGATATTAGAAAGTTCCAGTTGAAATTGGTATATTCTGATAATTAATTAATTAATTAATTACTTTACGATGTTCAAAGTACTTATTTATGCGAATACAGATATATCGCTTCGTTTTACAATAAAATATCAGTATTTAACTGATTTCCTGCTCACGTATGTTATATATTTGAAGGACATTCGACAGTTTTACTTCTCTATTAATTATTTCGCGAAACTGATAACAAAGCGTTCGTGGATAAAACACATTAAAAATACATATTTTTGTGGTGATAGAAGTAAAAACAATACTGTGGCAACGATACGATATTGCTTGCAGTTTATTTATAGAAATATTTTACATTGCTACGTATTTGAAGTTAAACATATTCTTTGTCAATTTTTCTTGTAATAAAATTAGTTACTGAGCCATTTTATTTTTTTAATAAACGATTGTTACTATTGTGACAAAAAAAAAGTTTAATTCTTACCGATCTTAACTATAATAAATTTACTGCTTTCAACTGCCACAAACCAAGATACTCCAGATTTAATGTCAACCAATCAAAGTGCAAGTTTACTGGTCCGTATCACACTAAGGGGCCTATTTATATATATTTACACGTACCAATTGTAAAACCTACCTAATAGTGAAAATCTTAATTGTTTATCTTTTTGTTGTTCCGATGGTATTAAGACAATGCTTTAACTTCAACAACAAGGATACATAAAACACTGTCACGGAGTAAACGTAGCCGTCATAAATATTTATTTTTAAATTATTCTGTCTGAATACAGTAATCCCTCGTTAATCGTGGGGTTAGGTTCTATAGATCGTCTATACTGAGGAATGCACGTGAATATATGTATATACATATCCACTTTTGAAATTTTCTAAATCTGGCGGTCTGTGCCAAGTTACACTTGACTAAATGGATGTGCGGGTGTTCAAAAGAACACACTATCTCTTCGTCCCTTTAAGGTTGCCGCCCTATATGGGTAAGAATAAAAGTTCAGAATTTTCCAATATCAAGTACCAGTTCGTAGGATTGCGTCACTCCGTATGTGGCCCCAGAGCTTCAAAAAATCCCTCTTTATCCCTGTATAACAGAAGCTTCATTCTATCGGGGTTTTTGGTTTCATTGTACTTTTTAAGGGCTCGCAAGTGACAAGGTACCAGAGTTTACAGTCTCTAATACATGATGGGAACTGAAGGTGCTGTTTGGTCCAGGTCAGGGACCTGTTGGTGATATTATTTTGAACCAAAGCAAAGGTGGGGTTCACTTGATATATGTAGACCGGTTATATTTTCGCTGGACTCACCTAGTAAGTACATATTTAATTCTAATATATCCTGCAAACTAGTTGGCCAAATAACAAACTTCTGTTGTTATTATATTCATTGATAAATTGGAGTGTGTTCTTTTCGGAGTCAATATTTAAATTATGAACATCTTTTGGAAAATTATCTGTATGCAAACTTGATTTAAAATTTTAAATCATTAGACACTCAGTAATACGTGAAAACAAGGTATTTCAATTAATTTCGGTTGTTGTATAAGAGAAAATTCTGGGTCGAGTGGAGCAGTTATTTTACGTAATGAGATAAATATAACTATAAACCGTAACTGCCAATGATTAGTGACGTGTGTTAATATTAAGTGTGTCAACACATTTTTTATTATGGTGGTTTTAAGTGTCATGACGATGTCAGGAGTATAGGGTGAAGACTGGGTCAATCTGTGTCCATTATCTCTGCCTCAGAGCTCAGAGACTCTTCGCCAGAATCCAAGTTATAACCTGGCTCTATGTTGGTGAAGAGTTCGTTGGGAAACCAGCGATAATTGTGGATGCGTTTTCAAGGTTCTTGGTACCATGTCTTTTGAGGTCAACGAAGTCGCGGTTAGTCGAACACTTTGGAATTAACGAGACTCGAGACACTAGATTGCAAAGACCTCTACCTGCTTCACAGCAAAACCATATTGTTACGAAATTAACACATACGCCGCCCCGGTACGACGCCTATGGGTTTTCCAGTATCTACGACGATGATCGGTGACGGCGGCCGGACGGCGTTCGCTAAAGAAAAGCCTGAAAGCGGACGTCGCGATGGGTGCTCCAGAACAGGCCTAGAAGCGGTGACGGCGACCTTTCGAGAACGACCGCGTGCTGTTTAAACAGAAACCACCGACGGGAGCAGTCAGTGAAGTACAGACAATGGGAGAAGTAGAGTCTAGTCAAATCCATTCCAGTCGGGATTATTCAGTCGAGTCGAGTCGAGTGAGTGTTGAGAGAAGCCAGTCAAGTTACTTTTTTTTTAATTCATAACAATTGCCTCTTACTTGGCATTGTGACTTACAGATTAAATTTAGAAAAGCTTAGTATCAATTACCTGTTATAGCTTTGAGTGGACTAGAAAAATGACTAAAGTTTGTTTGACCACAACAAACTTTAAATATTCTGCCCCTGTTTACTCAATTATTTATTAAGATATTTTATTTCTATAACGCGCAAGGCATTTTTTAATACAATTTCTACTAATGTATCTTTTTGAAAATTTAGAATTGATCCATAAGTAGTGAAAACCAAATAATCTCATCCTCATTACAATTTTAACGCATTGTAGTTTTTTTTTTTTGACAACAGAATTTAAAAAACGGAAAAGCAGTGTGGGTAGGGTTTTTTACGCTCATCAACGGTGTTGAGTTTATTACAATCGGACGTATACTTTTGGCAAAAACTTATTAGACTGAAGTTTATATGTATTTCCCTATGCTGGAATATTAGCTCACTCTTAAAATGATGAAGAGCCTATGTATATGATCGTTACCTGGTTTCTTAACAAATTCTGTGCTAAACTCGTTTTAGATTTTAACTCGCTACTGGATTAATATTCTCTTTGTGGGGACGAACCAGCAGGTCAGGTAAACGATTCGTAGAGGAAAACAAATAGTATATTACATTATAAGGGAAGTAAGTAAACATGTAGATGTGACATACAGGCTGATTTTGCAAAACCACCCTTATTGACATTGGAGTCCTCAACCGCCAAAGGCAAGTGCCTAATTTAAATACTTAGTTGATGCCAATAAAAACCTTCTTTCACTATAATTGTAATTCGTGTGACCTGAATGAAAGTGAAGGAAACAGTAAGCAGCTTGTAATGTTCTGGTAAATCTAGTGTCAGTTTGTCGAAAGTAAAACGCGTCGTTAAAAATATTATGACATTTCTTCTAGTTCATTTTATTCCAAGTTAGAAACAAACACTGCTGCCAACATAAATTGAGGAGTCCTCAACCGTCATTTGATTTAAACTATGACGCTTCTCTATGTTGTCTGATTGTGATTATACTAAGTACAAAACGGTTGATGAAAAACTTTTCAGGTTAGGGTAGTCATTTCATTGATTAAACTCGTAGACCTCACAAATGTCGATGTCAACAAATCGAAGAGGTTAAAATCAAAATGGAAAGCCACGATTCCAGTGATTTATGTTGGAACAGCGAATTTACAGTGATCTTTTTGCCACCTGGAATCGTTCTTAGCAGTTTTCGATCCTTTACTCTAGGCAACCCATCATTGTCGGGGAATAACCTTAGGATATTTGAATATTAACGCAACAGGTTTAATCATCACTGGCTTAATCAAAGAAATGAAAAATATTTCCATAGCCTAGCCTATTCTAAAAATGATTTCAAATG